TTAGGGCTTTTAGGGTTTAGGGTGTTAGGGTTTGAGGGTGTTAGGGCGTTTAGGGTTGTTAGGGCATTTTAGGGTTTAGGAGTTTAGGGCTTTTAGGGTTTTAGGGTTTAGGAGCTTAGGGCTTTTAGGGTTTTTAGGGCGTTTAGGGTTTGGGTGTTAGGGTTTTAGGTAGGGTTTTAGGTTTAGGAGTTTAGGGTTGTAGGGCTCAGGATTTAGGGTTCTTTGCGGTTTGGGGATTTCGGGGTTTACGGTTTACGGGTTTAGGAGTTTTGGGTTTCGGGATCAAGATTTAGAGTTAGGCTTTGGGATTTAGGGGTGCCTTCAGGGCTGACGTTGACCATAACAATAAAAACACATGGAGATCTCTTTGTCAGGAGCACGGTGACTTCGAGATGTTGGAAAAGCCCTGTGTTTAGATCGGTTTAAGCCTAAACCCTACCCTAGGCTCTAAGCCCTAAGCTCCAAATCCTAAGTTGTTTCCCCTAAACTCCAAATCCTCTAAACCCCAAACCTTACAAACTCCATTTAAACTCTACACCCTTAAAAACTCTATTTAAACTCTACACCCTCAAAAACTCTATTTAAGCTCTAAACCCTTTAAACTCTCTTCCTTAAACTCTAGGCCCTGACGATCTCTTGCCAAGGAGCCCTATGCCTTCCTCGTACACGCGCTTGTCGGCTACCTCGACGAGCCCGGGACGCCCCGGGCGGCGCCTGCGGGCAAAGGCGGCAACTGGATCACGCAGGCCAAGACGGGGCTTTGGGGTTTATAGGATTTAGGGGTCCATAGGGTCTATACCATAAACCCTGAACTAACACCCTAAACCCTGTGTTCTACAGGGTTTCGGATGTAGGGCCTAGAGGGCTTACGGTTTAATGAGGGTTTAGGGTCGAGGGTTTTGGGTTCAGGGTTTTGGGTCGAGGGTCTAGGGTAGAGATGCACTCGTTCTCAGCGTCTGGGGTCGGGCTTTCGGGCATTATAGCGCTCCGGGGTGTAGCTTTCCCATCACATGCTCTCCAGGCGAGTTGGGGAAGTTCCATGGGGTGTTAGGAATGGAAGTAATGGTTCACGTGAGGCAATAAAGAAACAACAGAATTCGTCTACTTAGCATTTTCGTGGGATGATATACCCTATAGAACTTAGAGTTTTGCCCTTTTGGGGTTATGAACTCGGCAAGTATAGGATTTCACGAGGGTTTCTTGGTGTGCGTCCGTTTTTGCAAGAGTTGCCCGATTCCTGTGTTTGCGTGAGCATGCAGTCAAACTGAGCTTGGGGGCTTAGGGTTTGAAGAGGCAGCTGCATGTTACAGAAGCTTCCTTTGCCATGACTGTTCTAATTATTGGAGCATGATGGTGATGATGGTGATGATGATGATGATGATGGTGATGATGATGATGATGGTGATGGTGGTGATGATGATGATCTGATCTGCCTCAGGGTTGCATTCGGGCGTTGGCTCCTCTGAACGAAGTTTCTACGTCCTGCACCGCTACAGCTCGGCCGACGGTTGCAGACTTCGAGGTTCAGGGCCGAGGCGTAGATGCCCCTGAACTGTGTTTACATACGGGCGACGAGGTGAAGAAGAACCATAAAACGTGGTCAAAGAGGCAGAAAGCACGAGAACACTCAATAAAACCGCCGCAACACCCTACAGGTCCCTCCCTTCGAGTGCAGTGCACATCCCTTGTTCCGAGGCTTTCGGCACGCTTACTCAGAGGGTGAAGCCAGCCAGGCATGGTCCAATCCTATTGGTTTCTCTCGGGCACAGGGCATACGGTGCAGGGAATGATTTTGTCAGTCAAAAAATGGGGCTCTTGCAACGTATTTCTAGCCTAAGAACTCACCGCCCCATGCAGAGTCAAATCAGCCTGGGTCCTACAACATTCCCGTCAGGGTTTGACTCTTGAGAACGTTGGGTCATGCTCTTGGGTCTTGCCAAATCGCAGTTTTCATGCTACTTTGCTCATCCTCTCCCCGGCCACTTGGGTCATCAAGGCTGCATACCCACAGATCCCAAGACACCTGAAATCAGGAGTATATTTTCATTTAGAGGGCATAGTATGATGGTTGGAGGTATAAGTAAGGTGTATTGGGCTTGTTCTCTGGGTAAAGATCTCCCTTGCCGTGCAGGTCCTTGCAAAACCACGGTGCAGCCGAGTTACCCGGCAACTGGGTAACAGCGGCGTTCGACGCGTTGAGTGGGCGGACGGCCCCTTAACTTGAAACGCACAGCGGGACGAGGCCCCAGTTCCCAAGCCTTCGACCCCGAACCCTAGATCCCAATAAAACCCCGAAAACACCACCCTAAGACCCTAAACCTAAACCGTAAGCCCAAAACTTTAGACCCTAATGAAAGCCTTCATAAACAAAAACTCAACCTAAATCCTAAGCCCTCATCTCTAAACCCTACCTGGAGATACCTCCGGATGAAAAAAACCAGCCGCTCCAAGAGAACAGAAAAATCAGACCTCGCTAAAAAACCATCCGCTTT